ACCCTCGATTCATCGGTCCGTTCGAGGTTCTCGAGCGAGTAGGCGAGGTCGCGTATTGTTTAGCCCTACCTCCCGAGCTATCAGGCATTCATAATGTGTTCCACGCATCCATGTTGCGTAAATACGTGTGCGACCCCGATCATGTCATTCCTCATTCAGATATTCAGGTTCAGCCAGATCTTTCGTACGAGGAGCGACCGGTTGCTGTACTAGACCGTCAAGTTCGTCGGCTTCGGAAGCGAGATGTTCCCCTCGTGCGTATTCAGTGGGATCGCCACGGAGATACTTGAGAGGCAGAGTCCGACATTCGCGCTCGTTTTCCCGATTTTCAGTTTTGATGTACATATTTTCTTGTTCTATGTACATACTTCATGTTTAATCAGTTATGTTTTGAATTTCCGAGGACGGAAATTTTGTAAGGAGGGAGGATTGTAATATCCCGTTAGTTTATCAGTATAACTCATATTTTAGTTCCGATATATTAATATTGTCGTGTATTAATTTTCGGAATTAATTATTTCAGTCAATTCAGTCGAGATTACCGTAAATTATTTTCGACGTACCGTTTACGTCCAGAATAATTTTGGTAATTAAGTATTATGCTTAAAAATTAATTAAGCATAATTAAGTGATTTATTAAGTATTAATCACATGATAATATGGATTAGCCGTGCGGAATTTGCCAAATGCATTTTAATGCCATAGATAAATTTTCAAGTGGGAAACAAAATCATTTCTTCTCCCTTAAACCATGCACGTGGCATCATTAGGGGACTTTTGAAGATGACTAATCTTTTTATAAGATGAGTTAGCATTTGATGAGTTTCTTAAGCTTACAAGTGTCATTAGTGTGGCTTAAACACCACACCATCTCATCACTTTCATTCGCTCCTCTCGGCCATCATATTTAAGGAAGAGTTGGGATGAATTTTCCCCCACACTTTCAGCCTATATTTCTATCTCATAGTCCATTAAATTCAGCAAGGGAGATAGGTGAGTGATTGCTTGTAGTCTACGCACCGCGAGCTAGTACGCACCTCGCACGCAACGCCAGATAACGTATGCACGCACGAACACCGCATTTAGCGGAGGTTGCCGAGCAAGCGGAGAGGTATCTTCATGCACACATCTTGTGATGTTGGTAGTATCATGTTTATTTTCAGTATAAACATAAGTACAAGTTCATGTTCTAGTCATGTGTGGCTTGTGGCCGTGCGTATAACTATG